TCATTAATTCTTGTATTTAAATTCTTGTTATTATAAATATTCTAAATATTAGAATATTATCTATCTAAATGTTAAATACCATTCGAACGATTATTTGCAATGCTACATCATTTTATTTACGAAGTGATGCTTTGCTGTAGTAGATGATACAGAAAAAGTTGGTCGAGAGTTAAGTAGTTAATATTATTTAAGAGTCAAGTAATTAATTAATAATAAAAGTTGAGCAATTTGTATCAGAGTATTCTTAACATTAAACGTACCGGCATTTTACATATACCTATCTTACCATAAGAGATCAAATGATCTCTCGCGGTACATAAAGTATGCAAAGAATTTTTCTCGGTAAAAAATAAGCTAAGAGAAAAACAGATCAGATTTAGCGAAAGAAATAACAACGAATGTACGATTTTAAAGTAAATTTTGAAAAGGTGTCATTTGACCCCACTTCGTACGTTTAGTGTTAATTACGATTAAATGGCGAGAGGATCGTCGTCATAATAATCAGAATGGATAGTAAACGAAAAGAAGTCGCCTCGTTATAAACTTCGTTGATATTACCTGTAAACATTCACGTCAAATTACCACGTGAAACACAGGAAGTTTGCCGCATCAAAGTCGAAGTTACCCGAGCAGTGGCAGCGGATCCGGAAGTATGGGACGATTGTTCACGAGAAATTCATCGGTTAGCTCGCAGAGTTCGTTAGAGGGAGCATCTGGGCCATCCACCCATCGTACCGGCGGCACTTCGACCCAGATTCGACCGTTCGGACCTGATGGACGATATCACCGGGATCCTTTGCATGCTGCATCATCTTATCCACCCAGCAGGAGCTCCAGGTATGATTTAATTAACCGCCTAATCGAATAACTTGATAATAGCTTTTCGCTGTGAATCTCGCTCGATGCTGCTCGATACTCTGCAATCGTGAAATTATTTGTAAGATACTAGAACGATCTCAAAGCGATAGATGGCGAATTTTTCACGCAATTTTCACAAAGTAGTTTTTTTAAGGTACACTGTTGCTTTCGATATGTCTTTCTTCGTTCACATGTTTTTTTATATTCTTTTCGCTCTAAATCTGTTACGAGTATAAGCATAAAAATTCTACAAATCAGAAAAAAATTATTCGTGAATTGATCTTGAAATGTGTTTCATGTGTAGTACGTGGAATAGAGAGTTTTCACATCGTATAATTTAACAATCGTTTCAAACAACATTGTTATATTATATATATTCTGTATAATATAGAAGATTAGAATTGTTTCCATTAGAGTTATTAAATGTCCGAGGTTTCATCGAATCCCCCGTGAAATCTTGTTAATTGCTCGAGCATAGTTCAGAGTTACGAGTGTTTAATAATCTTTTAATTTGACAAAGCGATCCTCGATGAAAGTTTGGCCAGCTCTCGGACATGAGTAATTCAGTTTTTCGTTACTGCTCTCGATCAAGTAGGACAGAATTTTTTTTTAATTAAATACGTAAATGCAGGAATGTGAAACTCATTGTCAATTACAAATAAACAAATGATAACTCTTTATATCATCGTTGACATCATTCTTTAAACGTTTCATTAAATATTGAAACTTCGTGGACCATTCATTGATCATTAGACTGCGAATGTTTACGCAGATATTCATATCTTTGCGAAAGTAAATTAAAAGATGCAGAGAACGTAGGAATCTGTTTCACCGACTAAATATAACAACGTGCAGTTTATTTTCAATATTTCGTATAATTTTCAACATTGCCGCGCCTTCAGTTTTCACGTAATCGAATAGAAATTTACTGGCCTCATTTCCAGCCTGGTGAAATAAACTTTTCATTTTCTTTTTTTTACATATTTGTCGTTACACGTTGTAATATATCTCTGTAATCTTTCGGAGTAACGATAGAAAAGAAAAAAAGCTTCTTTCCCCGTTTTTGTAACGTAGGAACGCAGCTTTTTGTGCACGTAAAATGCAGTTCGCATCGATCCTGAAGTCATTCGTTCTTCGTGCACTCTTCAGGATCCTATTATCGGTAATCAGTTGCACAGCGAAGATTAATTGACGTAGACCTTGCACTCGATTTCAAAACGCACAGATCGCCATCGCCTGGTCGTGCCGCATCGCTAGATGCACGCTGCGGAAGTCCAGCCAGTTGTTCCGGAAGTCTTCTAAGCAGTAATGCATCACCATCTCAGAGCTCTCTGTCGTCCCTGGCAACAGGTGTGAGCTCTTCCTGCGGTGGTTCCTCGATAAACGTTACCCACGGAGCTTCCAGATCAGCTGGCCGAAGTCTTTCACCCCTTCTTATTCCACCATCACGCATCTCCGCAAGGTGAGACTCTCGAAACTCGAAACGTGATCAGACGATGATCGTTGTTTCTCATTGCAATGATGTGATCGATGTGGTTCTCAAGTACTATCGTTGGGTCACGAAAGACTATACTTAATTTATGCCAGATTAATGAAATATTGGATTACTTCACACTCTCCGTGATAGCAATAAAGTCTGAAGATTCTTTGAAATCTCTGGAATTAGAAACTCGGAAATTCCAAAGTTCCAAGCAATTTCATTCACATATTGTAAATGACCAGTTAACAGTGTTATAAATATAATCGTGTAAAGTCGATCAATCGATAAATCGACGAGCAGAGTTCCCTTATTTTAATCACAGCTTGATCGCACACTGGCTGAGTTAATTATTTTGTTTTTATTTCGTCCCTCTCACGATCATGTTTAATCAGTGTATAATGTCTTTACATGAGAATCTTCTTATAATAAGAATTACTTTTGACCTATATGTGTGTCGTTTTTATACAACAGCGAAGGTGGACCACCGCCTCCAGCTTCGCCACTGGGCTCCATACAACCTGACCTCTACCAAAGAAGAGATGGACCCATTTATCTCAAGGCTCGAGGGTACGTGCAACATATTCTACATTCACAAGTATTCTTTTTTTACCTCTGTCTCTTAATATATATTATTGGTACGAAACATTGATATATATGTTTTGTTCGAAAAGGATACTGAACACTTTGAAATCCTTCTTAACATCCACAGCAATCACAAGTATTCGAAACTAATAAGGAAGTGGGAAGTATCTATTGACCTAGTGATAAGCTCATTTGCCATTCTTACGTTACACCCCTTGCAAGCCTTCGAAACTTTATAACAAAGTTTCCTCCGCGCGTTTATAATATGTCAACCCGTGACGCCACGTTGTTCCAGAAACCAGTTTAAAGAAACTATCGGATATAACGCGATCACGGCCGTACAATCCGCGACGCAATTGCGGAATCGTTATTCGCTTTCATTATTACGCATCATCGTTCATCTTGTAGTGACATTTTCGTGGCACTACTTTGACACACTTCGGAGACGTGGCGTTGTT